ATCTCAGGATGACAGCTGTAGTTGCCAGCAGACTGCAACCCATCATAGAAGACACAATGAGATCATAGATCCCTATGTCATCACAGGCCATCTTCACAAGGGGTGCCACATCACAAAAGTAGTGGTTGATGACATTGTTCCCACAAAAGCGTAGGCGGAAGGTATTACTAGTGTGGGCAATAGCATTGGCAAAGCCAGCAGCATAGGCTCCTACCACCAGCTGGACACAGAGCTTCTTGGGCATGGCAGTGGCATAAAGGAGTGGGTTGCAGATGGCCACAAAGCGGTCATAGGCCATGAAGGCCAATAGGAAGCATTCAGTGTAGGCCAAGCCAGCAGAGAAGAAGAACTGGGCTGCACAACCAGCAAGGGTCATGTGGTTGTTCATGGACACACAGTCAGACAATATCCGAGGAGTGTAGACTGAAGAGTACCAGACATCCAGGAAGGAAAGGCTGCCCACAAAGAAGTACATGGGTGTGTGCAAGCGGACGTCCAGGTAGATCAGTCCCAGAAGGCCCAGATTCCCAACCAGTGTTATGGTGTAGGAGACCAAAAACAGCACAAAGAAGATTATGCGTAGAAGTGGGTCTGTTGTAAACCCAGCCAAGATAAAATCAGTAATCAATGTCCGATTTCCTTCCACATTCATCATTTCCATAAGCATAACCTGTTTACTGAGCAAAAAGAAATTAGAATGTTGCAGTTTTCAGCCCTGAAATAGAGAATACCTGCTAACGTGTTGAATAATGTGTTGACATTCCCACCTCCCACGATACATTTGGTATGAGTTTGACCAATTTTGCCCTGAAATGCTTTCGCTTCTCTGTGTTAATATTTTGGATATATTTACAGGATATATTTACAGCTTTTACAAGAAAAGTGCAACAGAAGGCTCTCATTGCTTAGGAGCACTCCATGTATTCTGCTAATCCTTTTTGAAGGTGGTCTCAGCATACAATATGTGAATGCTTAAAGATCCTTGTTGGGGCTCAAACTGTTAACAAGGTTGGGGCTGAAGCAAAACTGGAAGGAAGACTCTGAAGAAGGCTGTACTTTACAGTTGCAGAAACCTTCTAGAACAATTAACATCAAATCAATTCTGCATGGTTGCCAAGAAAACTGCATGAACGTATTCATGTAGACACCAAGAGTCAGCCCAGACTTGAAGGCCACATTACCTTTTCTAATGAGGCAAAGGGCAAAAGTGGGATATATTTCACATAGATTCCTCTCCCTCCTGTTTTGGATTATTCTCCCCATGTACTTATCATAACAACTTCCTAGAATTAGTAAATTGCTAGTCAGCTCAGGCCTTTAACAAACCTCTCCCTGGTTCCATAGGAAAGTTCTGTCAATCATTCCTCCATCCAGTTTTTTTTTAAAAAAAATAAAAAATAAAAAGGTAATATAAAAAATTTAGTAGCCTGATATCCGAAGGCTCAGTCCTTGTTAAGATGGCTCTGTATCCAAGGATTGTATTGATACTACATATACATTGTGTAAAATATAGGCCTGTTTGCCCTTTCTTCTCAAATTTTGATCTTGTTGAATTATTGTAACAAATTTTGTTGTATGTAGAAGAAATGGTTCTCATTTAGAGAAATACCACAGTAGATGGATGATAGTAGCATTTTATATCTGGTTCTAATCTTATATCTAGTTCTAATTTTATATCTAGTTCTAAACTAGTCTCCCTATTGCTGTTTAAATGAGACCTTAAGGAAAAACTCTTGGAAAACATTTCTAGTGAATACTGGGTTTGGTGTTTTGCCACAAAAAGGCAATTATAAATTATTGGACGTTGATTTCTGAAGTTAAAGTTGTAACTGAAGGATTTAAGGGAGAACAATGTGTTGGAGTTCCTTATTGGATACAAGAATTTAGATTAGAAAATAGAGATGTGGTTACTTCAATAGGCATTTGTACCTTTGCTCAGATATCAACAAGAGTTGGCCTTGTGCTCTATCCTTCCTAGTGACAAATTAGATTCTATGTACACCACATAAAAATTAAACCCCAAGGCTCTACCTGGAGTGCATGTAAATCTGAGTGTCTGCAGGGTGAGGACACACACACACAGAGCACACACACATTCTTAGCAAAGGAAACAAAAGCATACACAGGACAGGAAATGCAGGGTATCTAAGCAACTACATAATTTCTGAAGAAAAACTATTTTAATTATAAAATCATTTTTAAATCAAATATTCAAATGTCCAGATACCTTTAACAACCTATTAATTGACACTAAGGGGAAAAAAAGAAAGGAAAGAATGAGTGATTGCAGTGATGCAATGGAAAGCATCAAGGAAAAATCATCCAAGTACATTTTATTGGATTGAGATGGAAAAAAAAGTCTTTTGATCACCTGGGCAAAAAAAAAAAAGCAATAAAGCACAGAGACACTGAATATAGGTGAGGGGTGGATGTTATGATAGAAAGGGAGGCATAAAACTAGTATTTAGGCCACGGACAAAATGTGGTCACTAACATAAGCTTGGGGAATGTTGGATTTTGTCAGAGCCTCCCACTAAATAAAGAAAGGGCCATGTATAAACATCTGGTCTGATCCAAAGATGCACAAATGGCTTTTACAACAATGGATGTATTCTCAGTCTGTAAAAGACAAAGAGGGGGGAAATGATGACTACTCATTTGATCTGAAGTATAGTTATATCAACATCCCACAAGGCAAATTAAGAATGGACTCTGTTCTAGAAGAATGAAAAAATATATATAATTGATGAAGAGGACAAATAAAGTGCCCTTTTCAGCCTTATAACTTTAGTTTTAGCCTCTGTCCGCAGAGCTCAAAATGCCTCTAAACTAGTCCATTTTTTTTAAATGTTGCAAACACCCGAATACCACAAACTCTTGCAAGTCACCACCAGAAGGAGCATTTCTGCATAATTAGCAAAGAACTGATGTATACATTGTAGACATTCTTACACTGGCAAGCATATCCTCCTAAAAAAACATCACTAGCAATTTATGTCTACATTTCTATGACCTTGAAATGGATTTTTATAGGGTCTGCATGTGCATAATGAATCCTGCAGTGTATTAACTGGAAACTCTTCTATATTTAAATGAGTTATGGAGCAAAATTCTTTCCAATGTTCTAAAGGCAGTACACAATTGCTTCTGAAATATTTTCTCTAAAACCGATCAGTCTATGAGAAAGTGAGAGAATTAAACATAAATCAGTGAACATAATAACTAGCTGCTGGGTGTGAACCTGGATCTCTGCATTAATTGTAAAATATACCACCCTGGCAGTCCATTACGTGCCAGTTATGGACTAACGGAAGTCTCATATTAGAAGGATGAAGGTCATCCATTCATGTCCTGCATTCAAATGCGTTCTGCCACATATACCTAATTAGCTCCTCTGAGAAGGGAGCTGTTAGATCGCGCAGGCAGTAAGACACGAGTCGAGTGACAGTCAGCTCTCGGTTTATTGGCAAGGCATGAAGTAAATCCGGACTGGCATCTGGGCCAGGGGAGCCCTCTTTTATGGGAATCCCCTGGCTTGTAATCACACAATTCCATTGGCTGGTAAGACCCCGCTGCTAGTTAGCCAACCAGCAACGGGCATGAAACTGTATGCAGATGGAGAAGGGCAATCACCCTTAATGGGTGATCAGGATGCGCATAGGGGATTAAGGGGGGGGGAATACAAAAGAACACAACAGGAGCAATCACAAAAGTACAGGTAGTCCTCGACTTATAACAGCTTGTTTAGTGACTGTTCAAAGTTACAATGGCAGTGAAGAAAGTTACTTTTTTTCACACTTATGACCATTGCAACATCCCAATGGTTACATGATCACATTCAGACGCTTAGCAACTGATTCATATTTATGACAGTTGCAGTGTCCTGTTTGTTGATTTATGTTTAATTCTGCCACTTTCTCATAGACCCCATGTTTTTAAAGAAAATATTTCAGAAGCAATTGTGTACTGCCTTTAGAACATTGGAATATCTGGTTCCAAAGATGCTAGGTCACCTCAAGAATGTTTTTACCCTAAATAACAATAAATTGGCAATTCCCCCCCCCCTGCCCCACCGCAAAATAAAATTATTTCAAAATAGCAGAAAGGAAAGACTTGGGCTCTCTGATAGCTGGGGTCCCATCACATTTAGTAGGCACCACATTGGAAAGACAGAATTAATGGATTTCAGAAAACTGGAGCAGTATGAGGTACCTTTAAAATCTCCACTACAGCAATGTGCGTATCTCTACCACACAGATGAAATTAGCTACCCTGTTCTGTGATACCTTCAGCATTTCACCTTTTACATCTGCAATGTGTTTAAACTCCTTATTCAGCNATCTCAGGATGACAGCTGTAGTTGCCAGCAGACTGCAACCCATCATAGAAGACACAATGAGATCATAGATCCCTATGTCATCACAGGCCATCTTCACAAGGGGTGCCACATCACAAAAGTAGTGGTTGATGACATTGTTCCCACAAAAGCGTAGGCGGAAGGTATTACTAGTGTGGGCAATAGCATTGGCAAAGCCAGCTGCATAGGCTCCTACCACCAGCTGGACACAGAGCTTCTTGGGCATGGCAGTGGCATAAAGGAGTGGGTTGCAGATGGCCACAAAGCGGTCATAGGCCATGAAGGCCAATAGGAAGCATTCAGTGTAGGCCAAGCCAGCAGAGAAGAAGAACTGGGCTGCACAACCAGCAAGGGTCATGTGGTTGTTCATGGACACACAGTCAGACAATATCCGAGGAGTGTAGACTGAAGAGTACCAGACATCCAGGAAGGAAAGGCTGCCCACAAAGAAGTACATGGGTGTGTGCAAGCGGACGTCCAGGTAGATCAGTCCCAGAAGGCCCAGATTCCCAACCAGTGTTATGGTGTAGGAGACCAAAAACAGCACAAAGAAGATTATGCGTAGAAATGGGTCTGTTGTAAACCCAGCCAAGATAAAATCAGTAATCAATGTCCGATTTCCTTCCACATTCATCATTTCCATAAGCATAACCTGTTTACTGAGCAAAAAGAAATTAGAATGTTGCAGTTTTCAGCCCTGAAATAGAGAATACCTGCTAACGTGTTGAATAATGTGTTGACATTCCCACCTCCCACGATACATTTGGTATGAGTTTGGCCAATTTTGCCCTGAAATGCTTTCCCTTCTCTGTGTTAATATTTTGGATATATTTACAGGATATATTTACAGCTTTTACAAAAAAAGTGCAACAGAAGGCTCTCACTGCTTAGGAGCATTCCATGTATTCTGCTAATCTTTTTTGAAGGTGGTCTCAGCATACAATATGTCAGTGATGGCGAACCTTTTAGAGACCGAGTGCCCAAACTGCAACCCAAAGCCCACTTATTTATCGTCGGGTGCCAGGTGGGTGTGGCCCACTGGATGGGCATGGCTGTGGTGGTCATGGCAGATTGGGTGGGTGTGGCCAAGGTGGGCATGATCACCTCGATGTTGCTCATAGGGAGGGATGCCTGTGGGAGCTGGGCAGGGGTGGAGATCCAGGGGGTCTGTGGCAGGTGGGGTGGTGGGCAGGAGGCTCGTCCTGCGGGGTGAGGCAAGGCAGGATGGGGTGCCATTGTCACAGGGCAAGGCGAGGCAGGGGCCGGGGCAGCGGCTGCCTGACGCCATCGGCCCCCGCACACAGAGGCCAGCGAGCGCATGGGTGCTGGGATGCATCCGGCCACGTGGGACCTCGGTGAGTTAGTGGGCGGCTGGTTGAAGAGGGATGATTGCCATCTCCGGGGCATGGTGTGCGTGCCCACAGAGAGGGCTCCGAGTGCCGCCTCTGGCACGCGTGCCATAGGTTCGCCACCACTGCAATATGTGAAAGCTTAAAGGTCCTTGTTGGGGCTCAAACTGTTAACAAGGTTGGGGCTGAAGCAAAACTGAAAGGAAGACTTTGAAGAAGGCTGTACTTTACAGTTGCAGAAACCTTCTAGAACAATTAACATCAAATCAATTCTGCATGGTTGCCAAGAAAACTGCATGAACGTAGACACCAAGAGTCAGCCCAGACTTGAAGGCCACATTACCTTTTCTAATGGGGCAAAGGGCAAAGGTGGGATATATTTCACATAGATTCCTCTCCCTCCTGTTTTGGATTATTCTCCCCATGTACTTATCATAACAACTTCCTAGAATTAGTAAATTGCTAGTCAGCTCAGGCCTTTAACAAACCTCTCCTTGATTCCATAGGAAAGTTCTTCTGTCAATCATTCCTCCATCCAGTTTTTTTTTTTAAAAAAATAAAAAATAAAAAGGTAATATAAAAAATTTAGTAGCCTGATATCCAAAGGCTCAGTCCTTGTTAAGATGGCTCTGTATCCAAGGATTGTATTGATACTACATATACATTGTGTAAAATATAGGCCTGTTTGCCCTTTCTTCTCAAATTTTGATCTTGTTGAATTATTGTAACAAATTTTGTTGTATGTAGAAGAAATGGTTCTCATTTAGAGAAATACCACGGTAGATGGATGATAGTAGCATTTTATATCTGATTCTAATTTTATATCTAGTTCTATTTTTATATCTAGTTCTAATCTAGTCTCTCTATTGCTGTTTAAATGAGACCTTAAGGAAAAACTCTTGGATAACATTTCTAGTACATACCGGGTTTGGTGTTCTGCCACAAAAAGGCAATTATAAATTATTGGACGTGGATTTCTGAAGTTAAAGTTGTAACTGAAGGATTTAAGGGAGAACAATGTGTTGGAGTTCCTTATTGGATCCAAGAATTTAGATTAGCAAATAGAGATGTGGTTACTTCAATAGGCATTTGTACCTTTGCTCAGATATCAACAAGAGTTGGCCTTGTGCTCTGTCCTTCCTAGTGACAAATTAGATTCTATGTACACCACATAAAAATTAAACCCCAAGGCTCTACCTGGATTGCATGTAGATCTGAGTGTCTGCAGGGTGAGGACACACACACACAGAGCACACACACATTCTTAACAAAGGAAACAAAAGCATACATAGGACAGGAAATGCAGGGTATCTAAGCAACTACATAATTTCTGAAGAAAAACTATTTTAATTATAAAATCATTTTTAAATCAAATATTCAAATGTCCAGATACCTTTAACAACCTATTAATTGACACTAAGGGGGAAAAAAGAAAGGAAAGAATGAGTGATTGCAATAATGCAATGGAAAGCATCAAGGAAAAATCATCCAAGTACATTTTATTGGATTGAGATGGAAAAAAAGGTCTCTTGATCACCTGGGAAAAAAAAAAAAAGCAATAAAGCACAGAGACACTGAATATAGGTGAGGGGTGGATGTTATGATAGAAAGGGAGGCATAAAACTAGTATTTAGGCCACGGACAAAATGTGGTCACTAACATAAGCTTGGGGAATGTTGGATTTTGTCAGAGCCTCCCACTAAATAAAGAAAGGGCCATGGATAAACATCTGGTCTGATCCAAAGATGCACAAATGGCTTTTACAACAATGGATGTATGTATTCTCAGTCTGTAAAAGACAAAGAGGGGGGAAATGATGACTACTCATTTGATCTGAAGTATAGTTATATCAGCATCCCACAAGGCAAATTAAGAACGGACTCTGTTCTAGAAGAATGAAAAAAATATATATAATAGATGAAGAGGAAAAATAAAGTGCCCTGTTCAGCCTTATAACTTTAGTTTTAGCCTCTGGGAGCAGAGCTCAAAATGCCTCTAAACTAGTCCATTTTTTTTAAAATGTTGCAAACACCCGAACACCACAAACTCTTGCAAGTCACCACCAGAAGGAGCATTTCTGCATAATTAGCAAAGAACTGATGTATACATTGTAGACATTCTTACACTGGCAAGCATATCCTCCTAAAAAAACATCACTAGCAATTTATGTCTACATTTCTGTTGGATCGCGCAGGCAGTAAGACACGAGTCGAGTGACAGTCAGCTCTTGGTTTATTGGCAAGGCATAAAGTAAATCCGGACTGGCTCTCTGGGCCAGGGGAGCCCTCTTTTATGGGATTCCCCTGGCTTGTAATCACACAATTCCATTGGCTGGCAAGACCCTGTTGCTAGTTAGCCAACCAGCAATGGGCATGAAA